TGAAACTTTGTAAACAATTTTAAAAGACATATTTCAGCAAACTTAAACATCAGATACACCCACCATCAGATACATTCACCATCAGATACACCCACCATCAGATACACCCGCCATCAGATACACCCGCCATCAGATACATCCACCATCAGATACACCCATCATCAGATACATTCACCATCATATACATTCACCATCAGATACATTCACCATCAGATACACCCACCATCAGATACACCCACCATCATATACATTCACCATCAGATACACCCACCATCAGATACATTCACCATCAGATACACCCACCATCAGATACACCCACCATCATATACATTCACCATCAGATACATTCACCATCATATACATTCACCATCAGATACACCCACCATCAGATACATTCACCATCAGATACATTCACCATCGGATACACCCACCATCAGATACACCCACCATCAGATACATTCACCATCAGATACATTCACCATCAGATACACCCACCATCAGATACACCCACCATCAGACACACCCACCATCAGATACACCCACCCTCAGATACACCCACCATCAGATACACCCACCATCAGATACATTCACCCTCAGATACACCCACCATCAGATACATCCACCATCAGATACACCCACCATCTGATACACTCGCCATCAGATACACCCACCATCAGATACATTCACCATCAGATACACCCACCATCAGATACACCCACCATCGGATACACCCACCATCGGATACATTCACCATCAGATACACCCACCATCAGATACACCCACCCTCAGATACACCCACCATCAGATACATTCACCATCTGATACACTCGCCATCAGATACACCCACCATCAGATACATTCACCATCAGATACACCCACCCTCAGATACATCCACCATCAGATACACCCACCATCAGATACACCCACCATCAGATACACCCACCATCAGATACACCCACCATCAGATACATTCACCATCAGATACACCCACCATCAGATACATTCACCATCAGATACATTCATCATCAGACACACCCACCATCAGACACACCCACCATCATACACACCCGCCATCAGACACACCCACCATCAGATACATTCACCATCAGACACACCCACCATCAGACACACCCACCATCAGACACACCCACCATCAGACACACCACCATCATATACATTCACCATCAGATACACCCACCATCAGATACACCCACCATCATATACATTCACCATCAGATACATTCACCATCAGATACGTTCATCATCAGACACACCCACCATCAGATACACCAACCATCAGATACACCCACCATCAGATACCCCCACCATCAGATACACCCACCATCAGATACATCCACCTTCAGATACATTCACCATCAGATACACCCACCATCGGATACATTCACCATCAGACACACCCACCATCAGACACACCCGCCATCAGACACACCCACCATCATACACACCCACCATCAGACACACCCACCATCAGACACACCCACCATACAGTATCTGTTCATTGACCCTTTTATTACATCTTTACATACTAATGGCAAATGGAAACTTACATAAAATGTAAAAAAAATATTTCGTTGTTTTGGTATGCGAACACACAAAGTCACACAGGCAGTGTTTTTCTTCATAGCTCTATGGACCATACAAAATGTCAGAACGCTTTTTGAACAAGTTTATGGTTTCTTGTAATTTTTGTTTTTTATTGTTATAGAATAAAACTTGCAGTTACGTATTATCTGTGTGATTACTATTGACATGTACATTTGGTCATTAGCAGCCATCAGTCAGCTCGTTATCATGGCAACCATCGCCAACTAAAATAAAACGGCATTAAATACTCATAAACATCGAAACTTCACCCACTTCAACATGGCTGCTTGGAGGCAATTGATAAGTTATTGATTAATCGGGCAAAACCACCGGTTTGAGTGAAATTTGCACCATTCCGTTAGCTTAAATAAAGTATTGATCTATAAGAACACAGAGTCCGGCAGTCTGTTTCGAAATTTTATGGTGGGGAAAAGTGGCAAATATTTCAACTTTAGTGTACAAACTAACTTGTATCTTGGCTGAGATAATTCTTATAAGGGTTTAAATAAATAGAGTCCACGATGTATCCATCCGGTAGGTGTCGTCTTCGGGCCATATCGTGAAGATGTGATTAGATCAGAAGTAAGTCAGGGAGATGGATAGGTTCGTTACTGTCTTAGCATCGCAACACAGAGATCCGTTGAACTCGCGCAATAATACAATTACTTACATAAACATCCGCCTTCGTTAACTGTGACATTTATCGGGGCCCCTAACCGAATCACGGCCAAACGGATACTCTTCCGCATAGCACTGTCATGTTTGCTGATTAGAAATCTACACTTGTAATTTGCGGTGGAATACTACTGTCAGAGATAATTACAAATAAGGAAGTTTTATATCCATCTGTCTGTCTGTTACTTTAATACAGCACGATCCATGCTCTCTAGAGACCTCAGCAATACACAAAAATAGTCTTAATACAATGAGAATAGAGACAATATAAAGAGACAGATAAGGGATGACCCGCACTCTAAAGACATGCTTCAACCACAGGGGACAGGCACTGGACATGTTTCAATCGAATTGCACTGCTTCAAGACATGTTTCAACCAAGATGTAGAGGCTCCTAACATGATGCAATCACATTGGGTTGATTATAGACAGATGTCAACCAAGATTTAGAGATTTCAGACTTGTTTTAATAAAACTGAGACGACTCTAGACACGTTTCAACCAAGATGTAGAGACTCTCGACATGTCCCATCAATATGGACAGGCTCCAGACATGTTTCAATGAAACAGAGCTATCTCTGGACATGTTTCAACCAAAATGTAGAGGCTTCCGGTATGTTTCAGCTACACTTGCCTGAAGTACTGACGTAAGCCATAATAAAGTTCACATTCGTTTACAGACGTCGGACAAACTGGACACAGCTTAGATATAATGAGAGCAAAATGTCATGATACCGGATCCTAGCCACACATAAATCTCGCCATTTTATGCTATACATCCAAAAATATATTCTTTATTCCTAATACCTAACCATCGGTATTGTACAAATTAGCGGATGTATCTAATGCTCCAAACCTTCAAAGATACCATCAATCTATGCCTAGCTTACTAGTATTACAATGACACTAAGCTGATGAACACGTGTACAACAACACTAGGTGTTATTGAAGAAGATCCTTCCCTAAGCCCTATTTGTCACCGCAAATTTGCCATACTTCACTGACGTGTTTCTTCCTCAACTGGGGTATAACGTGATTTGACAGGCAATACCTCAGATTCAATCCAAAACCATAACGTCAAGTAAAAAATCATCATTTATCATACTTCATTGGGTATTGCGTTCATGTATGATGAACGTGATGACAGATCGTTAATGCAATATAGGCCTACATATCACAAAGGGTTTACCTATCAAAACGGCACTTCAACTTCAGAAACCAGTACCAAGTTTCTCGGGATTTCCTCTGCGAAAACAAATGACAGGAAAGACATACGTGTTCAATTTCTACAAATCATCTGTACATCAAGGTCGCCCGAGCGTTTGGCAGTGTTCGAAGCCGGCGTGTTAGTTTGGATGGGCCCCACTGTTCACGTCAGGGGAAAGTTTGTTCACAAAACCATAATCGGTTATATAGCTATTATTGCTGACATAAAAAGATATTTGGAGATAAAACAGATGTGCCAGGAAGAAGGATAAACAAGTTGATCATTCGATGAGATGTCTTTAGAACAAAATTTCTTCGTACGAGTGCATTGTACAGCCATGTTTACAGGAACAAATAATATTGACATGCCAACAAAATGGTTGTTCTAAATCAAAGTCCACAAAACGATGTCAATATAACATTCCCATAACCAAACTATCGAAACCGTGTGTTGTAAATTTCGCCATCAGCTGCCGCGGAAAGTATGCTAAGTGGGGGAAACCCCTGGAATATGGATTCATGTGACATTTAAAAACGGGGAAGCGGACTGTGATGAGAAAGTCCCTGGGTTATGCCATGGAAATCTTTGATAAACTGAACAGTGTTTTTGCTCCGTCAAATCAAATCATGTCTGCATTGCACCTTTTTTTTTGCATTCATTTCATAATTACTTCATTCGTCCTTTCGGACGTGCCCTTTGCACAGGTATAACAGCAATGAGACTTTATCGATTTTGGCGGGATACACATTTCATGATTGGTATAAAATTTTTATCGAACGGACATTAAGACATATTTAATTAGGATGATTAAATTCTACTGTAGTAGAATAGAATATAAAAAAATATCATGTTATCTCTTAAATATTTTCACCATCATTCTCTGTTCTAAAATGTTCGTGCAGACGACATGATATTGTAAGATGCTTGTAGTCAATTTCACCTCAAATTCTGTTATTAAATAGCCATGTCAATATCAACTGCAATTTTTATTTTTGCCGAAAGCATCGATATCCTAGCCCTCTGATTGGTCAAAAAGAAATTAGACAACTTACATTTTTATTTAGGGTGGAACAAGCGCGTGCAGCCGGCGGAAACTCGGCATGTCTGATGAAGACATAGCTATCACGTAATGAAATTAAGAGTGAGAAATGGACGGTTGAAGGTCTGCAGGCTTCCAACAAGGTTATGATTAATGTTAATCTGGACATCTGACGTGGTCGCATCGTTATTTAAACCAACATTTGTTAGTGGAAATGTTAACTGTTATATTTTGAGGTGACTTGAACCAAAACAAAATATTTCCAATTGGAGAAATCAGGTATATAATGACAATGGCTTTCACTCTCAAAACTGAAAGTACAATTGAATATTCGAAATTTAATGGGAGAGACCGTTATAAACGATCGGGAACCGTCGGCATTTTCCGTAAACGAGAAAATGTAATTTAATGTTATATAGTAAGCATTACGATTTATCCTTATTACTTCATGACCCTGATTGGGGTATGGTCAAAATGTCGGGAGCACGACCATTGTCAGGCGTAAACGTCTACCAATTCAATCATCTGTGTGCTGTGGATCTGAGTGCTTTCATAGATCGCTATGCCGAGTAAAATTTTCACATATATCAATGCTTTAATCGAATGGCTTACCCAAACATGCGCGTTGATAAATCAAAGCCCGAGGAAGGTCTGTGGGTTAGGTATAGAATAACTTCTCTGCCGTTATTTGGCTCTGTTTCCGCCTACAGAGAAATAAACCAAAATAGATTGTCAATATGGTGCTGTTAGCTTATTCATTACTGATATGAGAGAAGGAAATAACACCAGGGTTTTCTTTAAATGATTTCGACAGAACACGTTTGTTATGAGTCTGAGTAATAGATATTCTAACTCAAAGAAACGATTTCCTACCAAAGAAAAATATAATAAACAACAGAAGGATTTCTCAGAGTCGATAATGTTAGCTCGGAATCAAAAATGATAATCTTAGTTCTTCCAGATGTGATGACTGCGCAAAGATTAAGAACGACCTCTGTACTTGTGTCTGTGTAATAAAGAACAGAACTAATTTATTTATTCTAAACGAACCATCTGTTTGCATAAAGTTAATCCAAGCAAATCTCGCACGGCTCACCTAGCTCGTTAATTAGATATTCAGTTGGGAGTTAAATTTAACAATCAACTTAGTTAAATTTTGACTAATTCACTTTCAAATGCCAAAATTTTAAATAGGAAATTGGTAAATGGTTGCCGTTTCCAATTATAAAGTCGAGATGCTACTAAATCAAAGGATGCAAGCTCATTATTCTGCATGTTGAACATTTTAAAAAGAAACGCGCATGCATAAAATGAGTACATCCGCTCCATACAAATACCAAATTTGGGCAATTAATATTTCCCTCTGGACCTGTCCCGGTGATGTTTCTATCATTTAAGACAACATCAAATCAAAATAAGACTTCCAGCACAGACGGTCGATTAAAGGTCTCACATTTTGGCACCATAGAAATCGTTGACGGAGCCGAAACAAGCTCCCGGGGCGAGACACTGGCAGACATGTCGCGACACCTAGTGAGCTTACCGCTGATAAAACCCTTGTATTCTGACGTGTGAAAAACAAATACGACAAATCACAAAATTACAGCATAATGTTAAATCTGTGGTCCTTTTCGTTGACATGGAAATTAAAGACATTGTAATGCGGATGAAGTAGCCAAAATCTTATTGTCTCATCACACAAAGCGGGTCGTCTCATCATACAAAGCTGATCGTCTCATCACAGAAAGCGAGTAGTATCATTACACAAGAGTCGTCTCATCATTCAAAGCGGGTCGTCTCATCATTCAAAGCGGGTCGTCTCATCACACAAAGCGGATCGTCTCATCACAGAAAGCGGGTCGAGTCGTCTCATCACAGAAAGCGGGTCGTCTCATCACAGAAAGCGGGTCGTCTCATCACACAAAGCGGGCCGTCTCATCACAGAAAGCGGGTCGTCTCATCACAGAGAGCGAGTCGTCTCATCACAGAAAGCGGGTCGTCTCATCACACAAAGCGGGTCGTCTCATCACTGAAAGCGGGTCGTCTCATCACACAAAGCGGGTTGTATCATCACAGAAAGCGGGTCGTCTCATCACTGAAAGCGGGTCGTCTCATCACAGAAAGCGAGTCGTCTCATCACAGAAAGCGGGTCGTCTCATCACACAAAGCGGGTCGTCTCATCACTGAAAGCGGGTCGTCTCATCACACAAAGCGGGTTGTATCATCACACAAAGCGGGCCGTCTCATCACAGAAAGCGGGTCGTCTCATCACAGAGAGCGTCTCATCACAGAAAGCGGGTCGTCTCATCACACAAAGCGGGTCGTCTCATCACTGAAAGCGGGTCGTCTCATCACACAAAGCGGGTTGTATCATCACAGAAAGCGGGTCGTCTCATCACTGAAAGCGGGTCGTCTCATCACAGAAAGCGGGTCGTCTCATCACAGAGAGCGAGTCGTCTCATCACAGAAAGCGGGTCGTCTCATCACAGAGAGCGAGTCGTCTCATCACAGAAAGCAGGTCGTCTCATCACACAAAGCGGGTCGTCTCATCACAGAAAGCGGGTCGTCTCATCACTGAAAGCGGGTCGTCTCATCACAGAAAGCGGGTCGTCTCATCACAGAGAGCGAGTCGTCTCATCACAGAAAGCGGGTCGTCTCATCACAGAGAGCGAGTCTACTCATCACAGAAAGCAGGTCGTCTCATCACACAAAGCGGGTCGTCTCATCACTGAAAGCGGGTCGTCTCATCACAGAAAGCGGGTCGTCTCATCACACAAAGCGGGTCGTCTCATCACAGAAAGCGGGTCGTCTCATCACAGAAAGCGGGTCGTCTCATCACACAAAACGGGTTGTATCATCACACAAAGCGGGTCGTCTCATCACAGAAAGCGAGTCGTCTCATCACAGAAAGCGGGTCGTCTCATCACACAAAGCGGGTCGTCTCATCACAGAAAGCGAGTCGTCTCATCACAGAAAGCGGGTCGTCTCATCACAGAAAGCGGGTCGTCTCATCACACAAAACGGGTCGTCTCATCACAGAAAGCGAGTCGTCTCATCACACAAAGCGAGTCGTCTCGTCTCATCACACAAAGCGGGTCGTCTCATCACAGAAAGCGAGTCGTCTCATCACAGAGAGCGAGTCGTCTCATCACAGAAAGCGAGTCGTCTCATCAAAGCATACTGCCTAATATTTGATTAAATATTCGTGATTTTATTACATCATCTTTATCTCGGCGGTATTTTAAATGTAAGTTACGGAATAAATGAAATAAATCATAACAAAATATGCTTTGTCCAATGACATCCATGCAATAGTTGAAACACTGATCAATGTAGTTTTCTGTTTTGCTGTATGATCTAACTCATCCTCGCTTTCAATCACCTTAGTACCATTATATCATAACAGAGAAATCATTTGATAAAAAAAAGAAATTTATCAAAAATTTAAATCGAATCATCTTTGAACTACGCTTTTCTCAGACATATGAAAGACACCAAAATGACATATTGTATACATTATCGCCAAAAAAAGTAAAACCAATGTTTACGTGACGCTGCAGCATGTCAGTACAAACGATCAATTGCATCACTTTGCATTTATTTCATTATTTTTGTAGAAATTGAGTTCTAATGCCAAAAAACTTCACCAATAGAAAACTGTTTCTAATACGTTTCCTGACAAGATAACAGCTAGGTTGCTATGTAAGAGTTGTAACATGCTGTGTAAATTGTTGACGTCACAGCAAACGGAGGTAAAACCACGTAAAGCTACGTCATACGCGTTTGCAAGGTGAATTATTTCTGTCTTTCACTGTTTCGTCCGTTCGTCAAAATGACGATATTGAACACTTCTTAATATCTCTCTTTTTGACGAAAAATGTTACTCCTTCTTTCTCTCCGACTTTCCATTCCCAAACGGTCATTGATTGTCGGTTAAAAAAAACCCCAAAATTGTAATCACGTTAATGTCCTGTCGTAACAATACGTAACATTCATTCAAGAAAAAATAGCATACAGCGTCACTTCTCCTTTTGTGAAAAATCTTATATTCTCTGGTATCGAATATCATCCCAGTATTTGGTTGTCTAATTCAGCTTATTTTAAATCTTCGTCATTTCACCCCTCAATAACAAAACAACGAGACATATAACACAACTCAGCCACCGTAATATACAATTATACATACACTAGTCGGTGCTCTATTGATATCAGACGTAATTTGCATAGCGTGATGAATGTAAAACTAGAATAAAACAAAAATTGAAAGCTTACAAAACATAGTCAGCAGGCCTGATTTATTCATTTTTGCCAATCATATTTTTCTTTTCTTACATACCTGTATGCCTGTATCGAACACAATTTCATTCACATTAAGAGAAAAAATCAATAAGCCATTTTCAACATGGACCATTCTCTGAAAATATTGTACCATAAACATGTAAAAGAGTGCTTAAAGCATACGGTAAGTGTTCAACAGTTTTGATTGTCACGTCAACCATAGAAGACTGTATATTTGAAGAAGAAATCAATTAATATTCATTGTAAATTAATCCTTAGAATATTACTGTTGTTAACTTCAAGCTGGTTTCTAATGGCATCCATGTCTGATTTTCGATGACGTCATTTTATGACGTAAATATTCTTTTTATCGTCATCATTATTTCTGCTTTTATTCACTCTTCAAAAATATCGAAAAACTTCAACTCAAAGTCAAGAATGTTTACGGTATTCATTATTATACTCAATGCGGCATCAAAAATGACGTTAGTTAATTAACCAGAAATACTCATTTAAGAGTAAAAAGACATACATCCAACCTCGTTGAAACTACGAAAAACAGTCTAATTTATCACAAACCTAATACTTTCTGCAGAGCAAATAAATCCATTTTATGACATTCCTTGGGTATGTTTCTACCGCGATGTAGACTTAAATTCACGTCCATGTACTTGGCCTCCGATGTTAGTACGACTCAAACTTTATTTCTCCAACAGTCAGATTATTTTCTGTTTGTACTTCATCGCTATGTTGACTGAATGGTTTGACAAAGTTCCATTTGGACAAAGATACAATATAACTATGTGAAATACATTACATTTCAAGTGCGTTTTTTTTTCGGGAAAAACACCTAGACTGGATTGTCGGTCGTAATATTTCTGCTCTCTGCTAGTCTTCGCTTCGAAAACACAACGAGCGCAGTCTAGCGGAGAAAAGATATTCTAAGGCATTTAACCCAGTCTAGAAACCCACCTTTGTCTTCTTGTTGTTGTGGTAACAACTACGGACTTCGGCGGACGTCACTTTGAACGTTGGGTTTAATGGTCAAGAAGACATTGGTATGTACAGAGCGGACCGGATTACATAGATATTGCGGTTTTAATTATTTCATGTCTTTTTTCGGAAATTGGAAACTGTATTTTGGAAGAATATGCCTGTTATGATGGAAATATGATTTTCAGCTCCAGGCGTGACTGTAATTAAGAGTCACAGGATGCAGAATGCATTTACTTCACTTACATGATATTGACAGGCAAACGACAACATCTGTATCGATCTGGGTGATATCTTATTTCTCGTGAGATCGTCTTCTTTGTGAGAGACTGTTGAAGAGCCTCTGGACAAAAGCTCACATTATTTACAACCAAATACGGAGCATTACAGGAGGGTTATCCATGCCAGCCATGTATGTTACTCGGCGCCTCATGTCAAGAGATATCACAAAGTCGAGTCAGATCGTCTCTCCCTCCCTATAACAAACTGTTAAACGGCTGCCAGGTGACTGACGTCGGCGTGTTACCCCTCCCGTTCCAGTGACTCTCCAGGACATAAAACGACACGATCAATATGCATGGCCCGCCTAGTACATGCAGGCTGTTGGAAATTATTGCCAATTTCTATTTCACGTTTTGCAAATCAGCTAAAAAAAAGTTGACCTGGGATCGAACTTTGTTACGTAATGACCAGAGACGATGGCATTTTATGGTGTACTTCGCTGCTTTGGCTAGGTTAATGTTACACGGAACTGCAATGTTATGTTTTGAAGTTTGGACCGTCAGAGGTCAGACATGATGACGTCATAGTCGTGGGAATACATGGCCTTAGCAATGTTATGTCTATCATGTTCTAAATATAGTCTTGAGTGACAGTTTGACAAAATACTACAGCTTAACACACAATACGCGTACAGATCTCTCCTTCTCATTTATTTACATTATAGAAGACAATTTATTGAAAGCAATTACAAAAGATTGGTCACGTAGGGCAAGAGGTCACCCAGATGACATTGAAACCAAAGACACAACCGTGCACATTTTCATCAAACATCTTCCCTGATAACCACCGGGTTATTCTGACCACTGGCTCGTGATCAACTTCCATCATCTAAACCCGCCATCCTTCTTCATTTCCACAAGGACACGAACGCGATATAAACAGTGAGGCACGGCTGATCAAATGACCTTGGATCTACGGTATTCTCCTACTTGCCAAGATGTCTTTTTATACTCATGACAAGAATATCTTTCTTAATGTACAAACCAATGGTGGGGAAAGAGGGGTCGGAGGGGAGAGGTTGGGGTGGGGTGTACTCTTTATGATTTAATGCCATCGCTCACGTTGTCGATGTGATAACGTTATTTTTGCTTGAACTAAATACACGCACGACGGATGTCAGAAGTCGAAATCAGAATACGTTTTACATCCCCTCCCTCCTCTGTTTAATGTTCATGCAGACAGACAGACAGACAGATTGAGATAGAGAGAGGGAGAGAGAGGAAGAGAGATGCGTGAAGAAAGGTTTCATCTCCTTCCACAACCATGACAATTCTGACGAGAGTTGTACTATGAGTAAAAAAGGTACACAATGTACAATGTAACTTCAGTCATTTTAAATTAGAAAATGTCGACAAAAATTACGTTACGATAATTGAAAAGCTGGGAGTTGTTTACAACACAGCGGATTGCAATGTGTAACGTATCTGTATTCGATATAGACAGGCGAAACATGTTACGTTAATTGAAATGGTGCAATGCAGGTACAATATGTATGCAATTATGTACTTACAGTTATCAAATTAGGACTGTTCTCAGGCAGATGTTCCGTACAACTCAGCCCACTCCAGACAGATGGCGTAAACTCTGTATAACGGATCCAGGACCCATTAAAGAAAAAAAACCAAAAAACAAAAAAACGACGCCATTTTACATGCCTTCTATTTATCGGTAATGTGGGGTTTGTTTACATGACGGTTACGTAACGGCTATGTCGGATGGTGTTTAGCCCGGGGCTTGCAAAACCACAGGCATCACAGTACACGGTAATTTACATATATTACAATTCATCGCGAGGATGTGGGAAAGGAGTAAAATTAACACCAACGATAGCGGCATCACTATTGACGGTGAGAGGTGACAGAAGACATCCTAACACCTTGTAAAGGGCGACCTTAATTTGTTCCTTTCATTAAAAAAACTCGCGTTGGTTTATTTCTTTAACTTATTAAAACTTTGTGTCATTTTATACGGGAGAAACATTTTTATTGTTAACATACCAAATATTGAAATCGTAATTTTTTTCATTTTTTTAGAAAACTCCTGCTGAGAATAAAAAAAAATAACAAAATTATTAAAAACATATCTATGGGCATATTTTCAACAAATCAATTCATTAAAACACAATTTAGGTTGCTCTTTTTGGTCTTATTTGTTTCTTTAAATTTTGAATATCAAAAACAGGTTTTACCAATAACTGATGGGTACTTGGCAAGCTTGCAGACAGAAATTGATAGCAGGCTAGACTTTGTCGGCCTCATGGTCATTAAAGCACTTTATTTTGACACAATCCACATCATGTATATATGAAGATCACATGGTCCATTATTCAAATCGCATGTGCCTTAGTAAACCACGTTAAGAACTTTCGTATATGATTGACACACGTAAATATTAATGTGCTTTATTTTTCTTCCTTTGTTCTGTATAATAGCGATATCCAATCCTGCGAGATTTTGGGTATCAATGTCGCAACGATGAATAAAACATTAATGTGACGTTGATGCCAAAACATTCTCCTTAAGGATAACGGTGCCGGCAAATATATATCAAGCACGTCCCATAACTAAATATGAAACAGTCAATATTTGCCCTGTAAGACTAAATCATTACCCCGGGTGCCTCATCATATTTCTTTTCCGAAACAATATTCATGTTTTCAAAATGAATTTTCGTCCATAAAACAGGCAAAATGTGAAATTACTATGGTTTAAATGTATTGCATCATATTAAAGTGACGTGTCTCATCTCAGTCAATGGCTGAGACTGAAACAGATCTGGTACCTAATTAGTATTTTGAAAATGAAGATAATGATTTCACTATGATTTGATGCCAGTGGTTATATTTCGCTTATTCACTACTAAATTAATGTATTAATTATCGTGCCTGCCCGACCACGTGATTTTTCCCCGGGTACTTCTGTTTTCTCCCACAATAAGTCCCCTCGGGCGCTCCCATCCGGGCCAACAAGAGTGATTAATAATAAACTAACAGACTTAGAGCCAAAGGAACGAGATCGAATAATCTTAGCCGTCAGATCATTAAGTTCACCAATACATAGCTTGTACAATGTTTGTCTTCTTGGTAAAATACAACACATAAAATACAAATAACATATTTCTTACGTACTTACGATCTTCATCTGTATCATATTGGCGTAATGTATAAAATGATATCTTATGAAGAAATTTACACCCAAAGTGATAATAAACTCAATAGTATGAAAAAATTCAAAGTCTGAAAATAACGTAGCATGAGCTGACTTATTGTACATGTATTCATAATCGGGTATCGTCTTAACGACGAAAGTCAGTGTTCTGACGGCGTGAGGGGGCGACCTGAATCCCTTACACAGGGTGGAACCATCTGTAGCGGTGATAGTGTGAGTAAGTTATTTTTAGAAGACGGCTCCGTTGTCTAAAAACTCTAGCAGTCTGAAACATGCTGCCCTGAAATGCAAAGGAAGAAATGGAGGCCTACATAGATTGGGTTTAAGTTAGGATGATTTTGAAGTCCGTCAAATGCCTTAAAAATTGTATAACCCATCACTATCCCCAATCCCTGGATCGGCGTTAGCACGCCTGCACTTTTTCGAAAAGCCACACAGGGATCTTTATAGGGAGTCTGAAGTTGGTTCCCTGTCAATAGTTCTGTGAAAGAAAATCGGAGCTGGGAACCAGACCCTAGTTCCGTTTAATTAGAGTTTGAGTGAGAGTTCTGTATAAGACCTATTTCTTTTCAAAAGTTGTAGTAGTCTTCATTTCTATCTAAAAGTTGGTGGGTTCCAGTCCTGTCCCGAATTAATATGTATATTGGACCTTTGGTTTTGTCAACATATACCTTTTCCTTAAAAGGAACTCTGGTCTGGTTCTCAGTTCCGCTTTTGTTAAACTTCAGGCTCACATCATGACGTGTGGGTCTTCTACGCAAGTAAAACTAAAGTAAATTGCGCCAGAGTATTTGCATAATCAAAATGATTAATTCCATGTTAAGATATAAGTTACAAAGTATGCCTAGTTAGAACTTAAAATATTCTCTAAATGAATAAAAGCTACATTCTGGCATCACTGTCTGTAGTTATAACTTGATGCCGTCAAGTGAAATAGGAAACAGGGTGAATCACAATGGTACGTTCATATAAGGGAGATAACTCTTACATGAAATTATTTTTCCCATTCTCGCACAAATATGATAATTTATAATAAGTCTCTGATTTTAATTATAAGTCTTGTCTTTATCTTGAAGAGCTTCGCTGAAAAGTCGGTACAGGATTGAAAACAAAAAATCACGTGTATTGGAATTTGTCTAAATCCTGTACCGACAAGAGAAACCATAATTCGGAACAAGTTGATATCTCATGCTAAGATAATCAGTATATATATTTCAGAGCAAGCCGGTATACAGCGTGAGTGGCTTGGTTCTTTGTTGCTGTGAAGGTCATTCATGACCCGTGGAATCTGACATTCTGTGTAGTTCGATCCACTTCGACGTTTACGTGTTTATAATCATAGCAAGCTATATTAATTTGTTAATTTACAAGCAATGGATATTGATTTTTAGTCAACTTACACAGAAAATAAATATCTTGAACTTTTGCTTTCCATATTCAACATCAAAAACCAACAAACATTCTACATAATTACGTACGCATGGTTAGTTTACACTCCATTATCCTACCAGTAAACAGCTTATTTAGATGAAAATAATTCGTGACATTTCTCCTTTTTCCCGAAACCCAACAAAGTTTCCGTGAGGTAGAAAAAAGTTATCGATATATTTAAGTTAATTATTGCCAGGTAACTAAAGACAAGAGCGATACCTTTGACAGTGAAAACTACATTAAATAACTGATAAAAACACACAACCCTTTTTAGGTGTTATCAGAAGGTTACACCGTTAAAGTCGGCACGCTTATATACTAGCTGTGCTTATCTTCAGTTAAAGCCGATGCTGACGTTGTCTACATTTCAATTGGAGAAACTTGATGTGTAATTAGTCGTTATGTCATTTTTATCGTTCCCAAACGTCGAGCCAATTTAGTGGAGTTTTCACATTCCCCTGAGCTTCATTCAGTCTGCCGCGGGAGACTGAGAAATATTCCGGCAACATATAATAGATATAGCATTTCTCCTTCCGCTGACTACACTCCCTTCCTCACTGAAACTCAAATATCAAGGTATAGGATATGGAATTTGTATGCTGGTTTTTTTTGTATACCTATCAAGTTATGATGAATGACATTTAAATTCGCTCCTTAATTTTGAAAACGGATGGCCAGAAGCGTCAATTATATACATCCGGTGCTTCCTACAGCATTGGAATGAGACCGGAAAAGGTAAGGTTTTAAAAGTTTGGGTACCTAAGCCTGTACTTGTTCAATTTGCTATCTTTATATAGAATGCAGAGCATCTTTGAGTTTTTGATATTGAAAGAAATATAAAAACAATTTGAATTTAAAAGTATATTCAACATTTATCACTGACCTCTTCTCCAGCTGAACAACACATATACATTATTATGGCAAAAACCCTAAGATACCGTAGTGTATATCTATCATACGTGACTAGCCGTTGTTTTTATCAATTTAGACCAAAATGGAGTCAGCGACCTTGTTAAATTCAATAATTTGTCGTGTTCTGTAACCATACCTTATCAGTAACAGACATCTGCAGTATAGATAAGACAAATTTTTGATTAAAAACCATGTCCTAATTCAATTTATTCTGTATAATTCTATCACACAAATAAGATTTATAATATTAATCAGTGTTACAACACCAATGTTGGAAGGGAATCTGGTCGATTATCCCGACCTTGGGAGGCGTTTCACGAACCTCTTCGGTATTCACACAAACCTACCAGTATCTAGGTAAAACCTCTCCGGTTTTTGACAGCCGGTGATTTTAATTTCTCTGTGGAGCTATATCGCTACAAAATTACAAAACAACATTCATTTCTACAGAAGGAACTAATTTGCAATGAGCAGACTATTTTTTGACATCATACCAGCACGACTTAGAATATGAAACGCAGCCAGTAACCATCTCCAGCATGAATATATAGCACTGCGAGGTTAAACAGGACCATGTGATAGTTACTTAATTATGTTCACAATAGGGTTTCTCGTTTACACCGGTTGTCATCATTCAGATGTGATGCGGTCCAAAGTTTTACAAAATGTCCACATGGACTTATCCTCTTGAACTGTTTTTTTAAATTTCAGGGCCTCGGCACTACATAGCAAATTTCACTATCACTAAGTTTTCTATGGTTGTGATACACATCTAACGCATCACCCTAGTCCCTTCATTCGTCTAGAGTGATTTGGAAGTTGGATTTCCTGATAGTGGTTGGTGACTACCTCACTGACAACATACGGAAAGTCCGTCGCATGCGAAAAGGGTAAAGTGTATTGGCCAAGGTCATAACCATGTCTGCAATGATGGGAAATCCATTAGCTACGAGTAGGGAAAATCGGACACCTCAGATATCCATCTCAGGTCACTTAAACCCACGCTCGAACCGAGTTATCGGGGG